ATTGATTGGATTAGTTGAAATTATAGATCGATTTTTGTTACTTTTTTTTTTTAGAGAAGATATTCATCAGAACGTAGTACTTTTAGTTTTCTGAATTACTTGATCGATACACTCAATATAATAATTAGTTCAGTTATGAGTCATAAAAAGTCATTATTTTTTTATTCTTCGATGAATACTTTTGGATGATGGACTTCTTTAATCCAAACGATAATAAATAACTTGTGTATAAGAATAAATCTTGAGTTCATACCTCAAATGACAAATGTAATCAAAATACTGGATTCACTTTTACTCATCGTTCCATAAAGATAAAACATAAGACAATAACAAAAGATTCTCGAATAAAGTCTGTTTGGGTAGGATCCAGGTCTTAGCTGGGTTTGAGGTCGTCCAACGAGTGCTACTCTGAAAGTAGAAGTCAAGTATAACTTGCTTCTTATGAAATCACTGTCATGATTGCCTGAGAAATTAAATTTGTTTATGTTTAAATGCCTGTTATTCATATATTTGCTATAAATCCATTTGGAACTAATGGAACAATTACAAATAAAAAATTAACATTAAATCAAATATCATTTTGAACAAAACAAAATGATCAAATTTCAATTGCATCATATATTTATGTGTGTTCAGTCTAAAAAAAGATCAATATGTACTGATCATTATTTTATAACCATCCTTAAATTAGCATCGAATGATATTTTTAGACATTGAATTTTATGTAGTGTTGTTTTACTTTGTGATATTAAATAAAAAATTTCTCTTTTAGAATTTTTTTTTTCTATGGATAAAAATAAAAGTTTTTTTTTTCGTCTTTTTTTTTTGACATATGATAAAACACGAAACAGCTTTTGATCTTTTTCAACGACTTAATATAAAAGATGAAAATAAATATGAATTTATTATTGATCGTCTTAATCGTTATCATCAAATATTATTTCCCAATGGTTTTAATAATCAAAGTCAATTAGTTGAATTATTAGATAAGAATCGAACAATAACAAAAATATTTCTTCATGGTTTTATATCAGATTATATTGAATATTTAAAATATCGAAATGAATTACTTCTTTTACCATTAATATCAGAAGAAATTTTATCAAATTCACCTCAAGCAAATAAAGATTCAGTTGAATCAGATGTACCAACATTACAAATCAAATTTAATTATAATGAATCAATTACTTTTCTTTATATTGATACAGAATATAAAGAATGTCCATTTAATAGTGAATTTCTTCAATGGTATGATTGTGAAACATCAACTCAATTAATTAGTACATTACTTCGTATTGAACAATCTTGTTTTATAACTAAGCCTAATCATCGATTTATTCTTATTATTGATTCAAGTACTCAAGTATGTATTAACAATTTATATTGATAAAAAAAAAAAAGTAAATATAGATCTAATGCTTAGGATACATAGTATGCCTATTATCAATTATTATTATGATCTCTTATAAAAATTTCTCTAATCGTTGAAATATTTATAGATATTTTATATATATATATATTTTTTTTTTTTAGGTACCTATTAACGATTATTTCAATACGACAACTCTAACACATGTTATGTCAATTGAAGAAAATAAATTATTAACTGTACAATGGCATAAAATTCTCTATCATCTTATAATTAAATATAAATTATCATGTATTCTTATTGAACATCTTGATATTAATACATCAATATTTGATACAATTATTGGTAAACGAGATGAAAAATTCATAAAACAAAATAATAAAAATAAAGATATTCATATACCATTGTCAGAATTTGCTTTTGGACGTTTGATGAATAGTGAGCATTATATGAATGATTGGAATAATCAATTAGAATATCATCAAGTACATGGTAATGATATAATGAATTTTCAATATGAATCAAAACATTCTGTACCTTCATTATCTTTAATAAATAATAACAAGGAAAAATATCCTATAGAACATAATTGATAATACAATTTCTTAGTTTCATGTTCTTTTTTTCTTATTGATTTTATATTTTATTAAACAAAAATTATATTGAAATATATCGCTGAATGTCGAATTAACTATGATTATTGAAAAATTTGTATTGAACTTTTTGAAAAAGATTTTATTTTACTAAAATTTTATTGATACAATTAAGTCAATTCTTTCTTTAGCTTTTTTTTTTACATTTCTCTTGAAAATAACATATCGATTTAGATGTAGAATCATCTTATGTTATGAAAAGCGATCTAACAAGCATGTTGAAGTATAGAGGTAGAAATTCAAATCTACTTCCTTTCTCATATACTATGATAGATTTCGCCACAGAACTCAAGCCTTCTGTGGAATGATTTCGAAAGAAGACTCAGTACATTAGAAATCTCAAACCGAAACATATACTGTAGAATCTCTTGTTTAACAATTTATGTAGATTCATCGTATTTCATATTTTAATCTCGCAAAAATTGCACTAATAGTATTTTTATGATCATTGTTTTAAAGAAAATTCCTTAAGTGTTTTTACTAGAAAAACAAAATAAATCATTCTTATCTATCTCATAAATGAAACAGACTGTGAGAAAAATTTTCATCGGATGATTCGAATCTTAGTCGTTTTCAAAAGGGCAATTATCTGAAGGTGATCACCTAGCAGAGTTCGTCGAGTAGGTCTCAGGCCTGAACCTGACTGCGTCTGAATCTAAACATTCCTTGTTGATAGGAATCGATCCGACTAGTACTACTCTGAAAATAAGAGCCAATAAGGACTTGATCCTTATAAGATCACTGTTATGATTGTCTGAGTAATGTGTATTTATTTGACATTGAGAAAATCATTCAGATTTATTCGCCACGCATTCTGTTCTTCATATCACGAACTTCCCATAATTACTTCGAAAAAAAAGACAGATAACCGAGGAAAATCTCATAGAACTTTCACTGATTTTCACTTAACTTTGTTTACATTGATTATCTTATTAATTTATTCACTATTCTTATAAGATATCTACTGAAAAATACAATCAATACAAAGTAGTTGTCGATTATAAATTACTTTTCATTGAATCATTAGATTAAACCGTTGAACATCAAGTGTTAACAAAATCTATGTTTTCAATTCATATCTTTACACAAACATTTTGAAAAGTACTAATAGTCATTAAATTGAACAAGGTAACTGAATCGAATCATTTCTTACATGAAAGAATACTCTTAAAAATAAACTTAATTCCAAAACTTCATAAATGATTATTATTGCACTCATTGATTGGAATCCAGCGGTTCCAAGAACTATTCGAAACTGTCGCATCGATTCATAAAAAGTACCTTTGAAATCAATGACCTACAAGATGTCTCAAAAGTCTCCCGGAAAAAGTTTACGTAAATATTCTTTATCTAATTCGAACGATTTAATTGTTTTTTTTTAAATAATATGATAGTATATTCTTTTAAGTTTTATTTCATATCATTTAGTTTACAAACAAATGTTTAAAATGATTATCATCAACTGAAATAGATAAAACCATTGTTCACGAAATCTTTAACAAAAATATCACAAAAAGTTTATTTCCGCCAACACCTCCTATTTTGAATTCAATCAAATCTTGATATATGTCTTACACACATAGATTTTCACTTTATATTGATCAATAAACCATGAAAAGAAACTTCATCCAACAAAAAAAAAAAGTTCTCCTAATGGTTGATATTTTCTAACATAGGTATCAATGTTCTTCGTAAAATCGTTGAATAAATTACACTTTATATAGTTTCATTAGAAAATATTTCGTCATAAATCGACCTTCTGTTGTTCGTGGAATGAAACAATTTGTTGCAGCAATCCAAACACTTGATATTAACACATTTTCACAAAAATCATGGTTTTTATCGATTTTCTCTTCTATAATTTTGAAAGAGATCTTTCGGATTATTGTCTATTTACTACTATACTAATTTCACAATAGCATTGTCTTGAAACATCAATTTGTTCAAAAGATAAAATTTTTATAAAGACAAGTTTTTTCATACATTAAAAACATAAATACTCAAAATAAACAAAACTAAATTATTAAAGTAAAACATATTTATTTACTCGTTTAAAAAAAATGTAAGTAAATAAATTATTTGTTTATTTATTTGTCTTAAGATTAAAACTCAATTTACTGCACTAATGAAAAAACTTTTGTGATGAAATCATACAAGAATGACAAAATATAAATGAGTCTAGAGCCTACTCAAATACTACTTAAGTTGCTTCCCTTCAAAATAAGACCTGCAAGTCAGTCTATGATGTTAAGTTTAAACTTTGTGTGACACATTCGATGGACCGAATTATACGTCAAAAAAAAATTCACCCTCGTATCTCTTTTTTAGTGTGAAGTAGGACAGTTTTAGTTTATGTATAAGATTCATTTTTGAAGTCTCTTATATCACCAACGACATCTGATCATGTTGAGTGAAAAATTCTTTTCGTTTTTCTTTATTTTACAGCAGTCTAGTAATTCTTGCGACTCCTTTTTTTTTGTTTTCTTCTTTCTTTTGTATTGAAACATACTTGATGTCAAGAAATCTTCAATAAAATGAAATAGTTAAATTTTGATGAAACAAAAATATTTTTTTCTCTTTGCGCTAACGATCTTTTTTCTTTTGAGCAGAGAAAACCACGAGAATGACTAATCCCAAATATGAGCTTTTGAACAAAAAAAAAAAAATTACTGTGATAGAATGCCGCTGGACACACACATACACATTATCGAACAACTATTGTGAGAAAAACCGACTTTTTTTTTCTTATGACAAAAGTCTTCCTTTGAAAGGAGAACACGACTCAAAGCTATACTGATTAAGAAAATACAAACATTGGAGGGTCTCAACATGTCTTTTTCTCAAAAAAGAAGATTTAACCTTAATTCAATATTTTAAACTCTATTTCTATTCAAACATGAGAAATACGTAAAGTTTATTTGCTGATGTGATCGTAGAATGTGGGTGTCTTTGGCTTAGGAGGAGGGTCTCCATCCTTTCCAGGATTTTTGATGAACGGATTATCAGAAATATTTGAAACTTTCAAGGTAGATAGATCTCGATGAGTAGAGCAAAAGCTGTTATAGACTCTAAATTCTCAAATACTTCCTTCTAGAACGGTGTGGGTCGCGAAGGCTAAAAATCGCCTCACTTCCTCAGTCGCAATATGTCCGATAGAGCTGGAATGTTTTTTATAGATACTAGGTACTATTTAGACTCCCTATGTTTTTTAAATCTCCTTTTATTCCAATATAAAGATCAAAACTATATGTGCTTTTTTGATAAATTAACGGTACAATATTTTTTAAAACAAAAAAAAAATTAGGCCTTCCAAACAGTGTCTAGTACCTGTAAAAAGAAACTTTCTCTGCATGTATCAGAACTTGTTTTTCTTCAGCCAAAAGTGATCGAAAACTCACCATGTTAGATATCCATGACTCATGCTTTCAACACCTTTAGAAATTATCATTAGGAGAATTTTTGCATTCAAAGAAAGAAGCTATACCGAAAATCGAAGAAAAAAAAATTTAATTTTAACATTTGAAAGTGGGCGGGTCCTCTTAAGATTTTGCAACACTTACACATGTCTTTAGTTCCCATTAAAACGATTTTTGGTTCAAGTTTTTTGTTGTTGAAAGTTTCAGACTCTAGTTTCAATCTAATATTTCGAATGAATCATTTAAATTAAATTTCAGAGATATTTTGCAAGATATAATCCAGAGAATAGTTTTCTCTTTTATTATATTAGCTGTTTTTCTTCTTGTATACATTAAGTCAGTTTTTTTTTCTATTCAATAGTTTAATTGATAGTAAAATCTTGTTTTTGTCTAAGCAAAACAATAACAATCGAAGAATGACACTCAGTTAACGTACTTATTTCGTTTGAATTATTTTTTTTCTTTCGTTTGATGAAAAGTGTAAAAACCAAGCAACTAAAATCTATTTGTTGACACTTCCATTAAAATCCACTCGTGCATTTTTTTTTCTTCTTTTCCGACATACTATTGTTGCCGTATTAAAACACATACACACAAACGTTTTCGATCGTTTTTACTGAGTACAATAATTAATGGTTGAAATGTTTTCACAATTTTTAACATTGTATCTACTTTTGTCTATCGTTTATTTCAATTATGGTATGATATTTGATATGATTAATATACAAAAAAAAAAAAAAAAAAAAAGAAAAAACTTGATTAAATATAGGTTCTGGTCAATTAATTTGTTGGCGATGTGAGCCATGTCCAGAACCACATAGTAATACATCATCATTGGTCACAGCTGCTAGTTGTACATCATCTCAAACTGTTTGTGTAGTAAGATAATTAATAAAAAAAAATTTTTTTTTTTGATTAAAAATTTTTATTTTTTATTTTTTTGTAAGAAAAATACCGTTCGAATACTTAATCGAGCAGCACAAATATCCAAAGGATGTGTTTCATCTTGTACACCAAGTTCATCAAATTTTTTTGGTCAAGGTCCTTTTGTTGATTGTTGTAATACTAATTATTGTAATTCATCAATACGAAATCAATTATCATTATCGATCTATTTATTTTTTATCGTCGTATTCACTTTCATTTTCTATCATCGACAAAATTGACATTTGTTTGTTTTTTCTTTTATTTATAAACTTATTGGTATGTTGTTCATTTTTTTTTTACTATCAAAATGAAAAATATTGCTGAAAGCTTTATAAATTTTTCTTAAATTAATAGAATTTGTTTCTATTTTTTATTCGAAAAAAGACATTGATTTCTATATACATTACTTTTTACTATGGATTTTAAATCAATAAATATCAATGATAGTATATTCATTAGTTTTCTGTTGTGTATGATAATCATTTTGAGATGAAAATTTTGTAAATATTTATTTAAAAAAACAAAAAGCAAAATTAGAGAAATATTCTTGAAGTTTTTTTAATTACAAGTTATATCTATAAGATGATATTTGATGTACATTCGTTCGTACTTGTCAGTCAGACAATGACTATCGGTATACCGAATGATCTACCGGCGGGGTTTTTTGTACACTTTGAATTAAATGGGAATGATAATCATACTTATCAAAAATAACTAAACAATCAATTCATGAAGTTATTATGAAATTAAATATAAATCAAATTGAACTAATAGTCAGTTGAGAATGAATGGTTTTATGATCTTATGCTATGCTATAATATTCTGAGATAATAATAAAAAGTATTGTGTAGGAAAAAATTTGTCTTACCTACACATACTTTCGCTAAGAAACAAAAATGATATTTAAGAAACATTTCTATATGAAAATTTTTCTTTATATAAGATGAAAAAAGTTCATTGTCGGTTCAAACAGATTATTTGAACCTTTCATTTGTTTGTTTGTTTTTTTTTGATAATAACTTACGTGTTAACATTGTAGCAATTCGTCTAAAATAAAATATACAATTTATCATAATCAAAATGATTGAATTCAATTTTTTTTATATAAATGAATACACTGTCAAAAGAGGAGAGCAATTCCATGACAGCGTTCTTAATATTATCGGCTGATCATCGAATCGTTCTTCCTGTATTGTACAGCTAATAGAAAAAAAAAGTACACAAAAAAAAACCTACAACTAAATACAAAATATCTTGAAATCATTGATGATATGAAAGGAAGAAAGAAGAGAGCATTCCCCATGACAATTTGTCTTTAAAATATTATCTAATTATCAAGAAGAGCTCTCTTCTCTACTTGAAAACCTTTACAATTCAATACATACCATTATTATTTGAACACAATGTCTATTCAACTAACACATAGGTGTTGAGTATATATATATATATATATATCGATACACACGAAGATAATAAGAAATAAAGTTAACCGAGCATTGTCGATTGGTGGTATCTCACTCGTGTAAGATATATCTATTACATGTTATCATTTGATGAACTTACGTTCAATTGCGGAACGAATAATAGTTGATTGGCAAATGAAATAATATAATAGGGAGATCAACAAATATAAAAATAGATGAAGAAAACAGATTCATTCGTTCTTTTATGAAAAAGAACCTTTTGTATTCTTTTTGATTTACTCCTTCACACAAACACATACTGACATTTTCAAACTAACCGAACAATAACAAACTATACCATGTTATTATTGATTTATCAAATCTATTGATGGCAAATAAAAGAAAAGGAGAAGCTTTTCATGGATGATGCCATTTTCAATTTGACGCCGTTTGAACTTTATATATTTATATTACGAGATAGATTACAGTATGTAGAATCGAAAAAAAAAATCTAATTGAAAACGTATGATAACATCATCCTTTTAATTCGTATGAAATATTTGTAAAAAAAATAGATCATTTGTTTACATTGTTCGTGTAATTATTAAGATATTTATTGAAAAAACAAAAAGAAACAATATTAATTATAGAATAATTCGAAATAAAATTTCTAAATTACGTCAAAACAAAAGCTCTAAAACATTCACACAAATCACTGTTATTTGCGTCCCAAGAACAAAAAAAAAAACAAAAAACTAATAAAACATCATGTGCACGCACACCGAGTTTATTCATAATAAACATCTGACATTCTATGATTGCACAGTTACCATGGAATATGAACGTGCTTTTGATTGAGTAACAATCGGTTGTGGTTTTAATGTTGTTGTTGAAGAAACGAATATATTTTGAAAAAATTCATCAAGATTATGATTTGTTCGATTTTGATATTTATCAATAATTTTTGTTATACGTTTTTTTCGAACTGAATAAGCAGTTTGAGAACTAAAAAAAAA